CTGAGCCCAATGCTGGACTGATCCAGTCTCTCCCCGTGTGTCTCGATGCAGTCCAGAGTCAGAAAGGGAGGGGGAGGAAGGAGGTGGTTCCGGCACCCACAGCACCCCGAGGGCAGAGAGGAGTAGAGAGGTAGCAGAAGACGGCGATCAGCAGACCGGAGAACAGGGAGACCGCACCCTTTCCTTCCATCTCACCGATCTTCTCTGCAGTACTGGCACCAGCCCAGACATAGCACAGCGGAGCCCCGGAGGAGGTGTGTGTGATAGACCCGGGCTGGCTCAGCTCAGCCCCCCTGCTGTGTCTTCTGTCATCTGCATTCCGATTTTAGACAGGGGTCAGGGGTCACAGAGGTAGACTACCCATTCAGAGTTAACCCTATGCTGCTCCTGATGATTGATCAGACCTCCTGATCACTGAACCTCAGTGATCTGCTTCCATTGATAGAAATACTCAGCAGAGAGACAAGTTGTGGCTATAAATGTGCAGATTGGGATAGATTCTTGTGCAGGTGGTTGATGATGTCCTGTGCAGGACTGAGTGTAGTATTGCAGACACTGATACAATAGGAAGAGCTTATTTACAAACAGATCCCAATCCCAGCATCTATTCCTAGGAAGTACTTTGGCAGTAACTTTTGTTTTGGGGATCAGGTGCCATGTTTAGAAGTTGCACAATCTACTGTTGGTTGTAATGATCTTGTTTTACTTCTGAGCTTGATAGATGTACTTTGGCTCAGCATGGAAAGTCAAGTGTTCCATGTCCAGGGACCCATACATGATTTCTGATTGCTGCATTTTGGTGTGTAATATTTTGATATAGGAAAGGTTCCAGATTCTTTTTTTGTGTGTGTGTCTTTTACAGTACAATGTATTTCATGACATGATTTACAGTTAATGTCTGTGATAGTCGCTTACTTTGTTTATCCAACAAATGCTGCATCCAACATGTTAACCCATCAGTTTTGTGCACAACAGAACTAATGCAATTTTAATGCTCCATAGATCTTTTTTGGCTAGATTCCCCTTATCAAAGTTGTATTTGCTCTCTGAAGCTGTGGATTGGCACATGTAGTTGTTCGGCCGGTTAATGTCTTGTTAATCTGGTATTCCCATTTATCACCTCCTGACCACGGATGTGTTTGTTTTTTCCTGAACAGTTTAAAAGAAACCTGTCAGGATAGAACTATGGAAGGTGCCGTTCAGTGGCGGGGCAAGGCCATTCATCACTTAAAGCGGCCCTTTACCCATATCTTTAAAAGAACAACAAACACACCTTTAGAAATGTTTAGTGATGATGACAATCTACAAAACACATACTTCTAGATAATTGCCGGCTTTGTATTCTTTGCATTCCTCATTTTTGTCTTTCCGAGTCTTCTGACAGTGGCCATGTTAACTAAGGGCAGATTACTAGCTCTCCTATTACTTCCTGGGACTCTGGCACATGTGACTAAGACATGTGACCATGCACATCATCTCAGAGGAAGAAAATACCTTTCCCTGAGATCTCATGAGATTTTCCAGCAATGCTCTGCTGATGTAACCTTCCCAGGATGCAACGCTTTTGGGATTTACATCTAGGGCTGCAACTAACGATTATTTTCATAATCGATTAGTTGGGTGATTTTTTTTTTTGATTAATCAGTTAAAGAAACAAAAAAATACCATCTTTTATTAAAAATGTTTTACACAAATGGAGCATTACAAGTAAAGTTTTTACTTCAGAATAAAACGGTATGCACATTTTTTTGCAATCGCACAGCACTGGAATGCACAGCATTGCAGTACGATGCGTTCCAGTGCGGGCGATCACACTGCAGGTGGGAGGAGCGTTTGGGGTGCCATTGCAATGAATGGCACTATAACACACATTCTGCAGCAGAATTTGTTAGGCTGAAACCAAAAATTTACTTTTCCCACCTTTTCTCTGTTTTTTTTTTTTTTATAATTGTATGTATTATATTAGACAATTAAATTAGTTTCATGGATTTAAAATAATATGAATTGTAAAACTCCAATAAAATAGCCAAACTTTTATTTGAAATAAATAAAAACCTGGTCATCAGTTTAGAGTTAGGCCCCATTCACACCTAGGCGTATTGTAATATGTGCGTCTGTCGCGCGACCGTCACGCTGTTTTTTTTACCGTGATTCGCGGTAAAAAAGTCGCGCGATTCCAAAGGCTACTTGGCTGTATCCCAATGGAAAATGCCCTACAAAACGGCCCAAAGTAGTCCCGGGACCTTTTCAGGCGTGGGCCGTTTTGTAGCGCGTTAGGTACGGGCGGAAATACGCCTAGGTGGGAACGAGGGCATTGACTACAATGCTATTTATTTTTTTGACCGTTTTGTAGAGCGTTCGTCGAGCGTAGGACGCGCTACAAAACGGTCAGGTGTGAACGCAGCCTTAGCCACGAATATTGGCCGGAAAATTATTGCTCTCATTCTGGCGCACATGACGATACCTGACGTGTAGTGCAACCGTCAATTTCATACGTAGGTGCACCCAACTTGTATTTCCATATGGAAATGTTCGTGGGGTTTTTTTTTACATTTTTATTAACTTCATTGCTATCACATGGGGGGGGGGGGGGGGGGTGCTCACAAGCCCCTTATGTGATAGCACATTTGAGATGACAGGTTCTCTTTTTAAGGTGACATTAGGGGGTCTATCTACCCCTGGTGTCACCTTTCCAATTCACTGGGGAATGACAGCTGCCTGTTGAGGCAGCTGAATGTAAGTACAGCATTCAGTGGCTGGGAGCAATAGCCAGGCTCCCATTGGTTATTTTAAATTACAATAGCAGGCTGGTTATTGCACCTGCCCACTGTCTGCTGTAAATCAGCAGAGTAGGGAACTGAAGGAGATAGTTCTCCTTCAGGTCCTTCTTTGCTGATCGACAGCAGGCAGTGGGTGGGTGCAATAGCCAGCCTGCTATTGCCATTTAAAATATCCAATAGCAGGCTGGCTGTTGTTTCCAGCCGCTGATGGGTGACTTGACGCCGGTGTTCTTTTAATCCCTCAGACTCGAGTCCGAGGGATTGATAGAACACCGGCAGAAGAGGGGGCACGGAGGAACGAGGCGGACAGCATAGGAGGAATGCCGAGTCATCGCAGTCTCTTCTCCCCGCTGGTGCCGGCTGCAGTGGTCTGTGTCCCCGCTGCTTCTGCCGATAAAGGCAGGGATTGAAAGGGACACAGACCGCTGCACCAGCAGGGAGGAGAACGGAGGAGCAGAGTGGCTGTGGGGGATTCAACTAATCGCAAATCAACTAATCGATAATGAGAATCATTGACTACAATTCTAATGATCGATTATAATCGATTTTATCGATTAGTTGTTTCAGCCTTATTATCATCATCATCATCATCATCATCATCATTTCAATGACAAGGCAATCCCAGTGTGCATTGCTTTGGCAAACTGAAGTCATTTTGCTCTTTTAAAGCAGGAAGTGAATGCTCTGTATTTCATAATCACAGCATTTTACACCTGACATGTCTATGTTATTATTAATCATTATAAATAGAGGGATGCATTGGGAGAATTTGATTTTTTTTTTGTGTGTGTAAAGGTCCGCTTTAAGGCGAAAAGGCCAAAGTGCACTCCCCCCTGTATAGCTGCAGGGCGAAGGATACGCCTGCTGCAACTGATTGGGCCAGGAGGAGGAGGTTGTCGGTCACAGTTCTGTTCCTCCAAATTGCATATCCCTTACTCCACATCTCTTCTGTTCTGCTAAAGTTTATATTTATCTTCACGCCATATCTCTTCTCTTCTACTAAATTGTATATTCTTCTTCAATCCACCTCTATTCTGTTCCACCAAAGTCTATATTCCTCACTTCAAATCTCTTCTATCACACTAAAGTGCATGTGCCTCACCCCACATCTATTCTGTTCCACCAAAGTCCATCATTTCACATCTTTTCTGTTCCACCAAAGTTCTTATCCCTCACTACATCTCTTGTGCTCTACTAAAGTGTACTGTGCATCCCTTATTACTCTACATCTCTTCTGTTCCACTAAAGTGTACTGTACATCTCTTACCCTACATCTCTTCTGTTCCACAAAAGGGCATATTCCTCTCTCCACATCACTTCTGATCCACCAAAATATGTTTCCTTCCTAATCACTGAATGCCAGTTACTGTTCAGGATGCTGCAGTGTCCAGATAAATGATTAATCCTCTGGCAAACATAGGAACTTATCATGGCAATACTAAATTACCCAGCAACTAGGTAACCAGAAAGTGTACCAGCAAACTGCCGAGTGGTAATATATGGCTTAACACACGCACGACCTATAGAGTGCACTGTACATTTACTTTCTTATACTAACCTTCAACATCAATTTCTTATGTCATGTAAGTATGCAAAAAGACATATGTGTAACAGTGTAAAGCATAGGAAGTTCTCCTAAGACACAAAATATCTTTTCAAGTAGTCATTTGGGTCACTGACCACCTTGCATTTTTTTCAGCCTTTCCTTTATTCCATGCTATACAGGGGTTTTAACTCTGCCTGAACTCTACATGTTCTCTTCCCAGTTCATGAAACAAAAATCAGTGATTGAAGCAGTCAGTCATTTCTATACTCTGACTTCTCTCCCATTGTAAAAGCTAGTGCAAGTGCTCCTACTGTCACCCAAGCTGAAATGTCATCTAGTGTGACAGGTGGACCTTTAATATAAAGGAGGATTATGGTTTAAAGAGTGTTTAGCAACATTCCAGTGGAAAAATAAATATACATGTTTTATATTTCTGGACCTACTGATTTTTTATTTCTTTTACTAAATATAGTATTTGCTGAAGAATGTTTACATCACATGCTCAGATTGAATTGCCCATGTTTGTGACCGGTTTACTTGGTATATGATTAACTTCTAGTGCTTCTGGTTGTGTCATTTCCTTATCAAATACTGTGTTTACAGACCTGAGGACTGAATCGGTAGGTAAGAAATGCTAAGTATGTCTTGATATATTTTTTGTAATCATTTAATAATTAATAAAAAAGCCTTTTTACCAGCAACAGAATGCCTGGCCTATTCGATACATGCACCTGGGTGCAGCTCCCCCTAGAGGCCTCATGTGTAAGTGCCTGTGCCAGTGGATACAGTTTGGGGCTCCGTGCTTACCTCTCCTATCGCAACACTAGTAGTGAAACCATGCAAGGTAGGTTTATGTTCACACTAAGATAATGGCATTAGAGAGGATTTTTTTTCCTTGTTAGAGTAAGGTGTAAGGGTAAAGTTTATCTGGACCAACTATGGGTTTAGGTTTCTGAGAATGCAAGGTTGTTAATTTAATTTTCGTTTCTTGGTAATACTCTTATGGTCTTTTGCCTTATGTCTTTTTTTTAACCTGCCTATCTAAGCAATGTGCTTGGATGCAGGCATTCAAATCTGAACTCCAAGTACAAAAAACTAATTTAAATATATTGCTTAACCACTTGCCATCCGGGGGATTTTCCTACTATTTGCACACACATGATAAAAAATAAATTTTTGGCTAGAAAACAGCTTCAGCCGCCGCACGGTACAAACGATCCGGCGCCTGTACAGACGTGGCCTGTGCAGAGAGCAGAGCTGTGAGAAGGATCCAAAAGGTCCATCCACTACAGGCTGCCTGAAGAAAACTACAAGAGCGGTTGGATAAAAGACCAAGTCACCCTGCACAAGAAGAGAGAGCAGCAGTGACTGGTCTTTATTATAGGAAGCTCCTGCACAGAGTTTCGCATTGGATTACTGCCAGGGCCGGATATACTCTCTCTGCTACCCCAAGGCCAAGCCCTACCTGCCAACCACCCCCCCCACACCCCCCGCCACAG